AATATTCCATTCTTCACATTTCTCTTCCCTTTTTCGTTTTCTCGAAATTATTTTCAATTTCCACTGGGATTTTTGGAATTTGGAATTTTCATCATTTATTTTCCAAACGAAAAATCTCTCAATACGGAAAAACTTACGAAATAAGAAAGCCAGGAGATCCAACCTTCGCAAACAGTTCTTCGATTCTGAATCCATATCCGCCACGTCAACCAAAAAAATTGCCTTATAAATCCAGCCTTTCTATAAATTATCATTACCAGAGAAAGATGTGAATTTACGATTCGAAGTCTCTCCCGTGTTTTCGATCGAATTTTGTTCTTTTTTTCCCCAAGAAATTCTTTATTACCTCTGCGGCTCGATCTCGAGTTGCCTGTTGTTCGTGATTTCTGGAATTCTCGTGGGAGAAGATCGCGAGAATTCTCCACATATCTTATCGATAAGTTCTCTGGCTGCAGTGTCCTTGCAATTGGGATTTGTCGGGGATGTTTCGGGATTTTGCGGAGATAAGAGTTTTATGTAGTACTCTGACTCGTCGAAGCCAACTGGACACTCGTAACCTAGACTGAATTTCCACGACGTTTAGAGTTTTAACAATATTTCCACGAATTTTCGGTGGAATCTTATTCGGCAAAGGTGGAATTTTTTTCAAATTTTTACTGCTTCCAAATTTGCATGCGAAACGAGGAAATTTATGCGATATTGTTCTAAATAATAATGGAGTCATTTTTTGTCGAATTTTCGATATTTTTTGGTCCTTGAAAATTTGCATGAAAAAGAAAAGAAATTTATGCAATATAATGGGGACAATTTTCGTCAAATTTTCACAATTTTCGATATTTATTTGAGCTTAGAAATTTGCGTGAAAAGGGAAAGAAATTTATGCAATACAATGGGGATGCTATTCGTCAAATTTTCATTAAAATTTTCACAGTTTTCGATATTTATTGAGCTTGAAAATTTGTGTGAGAAAAAAGAAATGTATGCAATACAATGGAGATGTTTTCTGTCAAAAATTTTTTTGTTCAAATATTCATAATTTTTCATATTTGTCGAGTTTAAAAATTTAGTGTAAAACAGGAAATCTTTATTTTTGCTAAAGAGTAGATTAGTTGTTTTTTGAATCTTCAAAATTTGAAATTGTAAATCATAGAAGGTAATTACCTTGAGAAAAATTTCGTAGCATCCTCCAGAGTACCGAAATAAGCTGTTCTTCCATCAGACAGTAGTAAAACATGAGTGAAAAAATTGTATATATCCATTCCAGGCTGGTGAATAGTGCAAAGGACTATGGTTTCTACACTTATCGTTCTCAGTGTCTGCACCACTTGCAGCGCAGAAAACGTGTCCAATCCTAAGATAGTACACTTAACTATAACACTGAAAACTCGTTGAATTTCAGATTAAAAAAAAAAATTAACAAAACATAGATTAACCATAAATATACAAAAATGAAATGAAACCAACTTTTCATTCTACTCTAATGCTATTTCACGATCACTCATTTATCCAAACAATTTTACTTATAATTAAAAAACAAAATTAAAATTTAAATACTGAAATCTCCGTAAGTTTCACATTGAAAAAAATGAAAAATAAAAGATAACCTAAATGAAACCAACTCTACAGCTTACTACAAATGATCCAGCTTTTTATTTACATATTTTTTGAATAACTTTTCAAAATAATTAACCGTATAAATTCAATAATCAATTTCAAATCATTCCGTCTGAATATAATTGAATAATGAATTTTAAATAATTCAACGTTTAACTTTAAATAATTTTCAATAATTCCATTAATTCTAAATCGTTCAACCTCTTCGAAACTGAATCGAATGCAATTCCCCAAAAAATTCTGCCGCATTATTCATTCGCTGGAAAAAAGTTGTCAGGAAACAAGGTACACAAATAACCAGCGCTATGTCGCTACCCTCTTTCGCGAACTTTCAAATCGATACTCGTCCTCAACTTCCTCTTACCCGTGGTTGGCTCGTCGAGGAAAAGTATCTTTGGTCTGGTAATCAACTCGCTGGCCAACGAAAGTCGTTTCCTCTGTCCACCGGACAGCTTCGATATCCACACTTCCTTACAATCGATCAGACCCAATTCCGTCAACAATTTCGTCGACAAATATCTTCTTTGTCTCTTGCCCACGTTCATCTTCAACGCGTACTGAACAGAATACATTTTCGTTTCGCGTAAATCAATCGACATGGAATAGTGAATGCTAATCGAACGAGTGTGAAGAAGAAGGAAGAAATTGTGATAGATACCCGACTAGAATTTCAATTAGGCATGCCTAAAGACGTATGTGGGCCTAATGCGGAAAGGATTAGGCACACCTAAATGCTGCAAGGCTAATCGTTACCGTATTAGGTCCTAATTCGGAAAGAATAATGCATGCCTAAGTTGGGCATTCCTAACAGTTGCCATACACTGCAAGGCTAATCGTTACCACATTAGGTCCTAATTCGGAAGGAATAATGCATGCCTAAGTTGGGCATTCCTAACAGTTGCCATACGTGGCCCAAATGGAGGTGGCCAAGCGCACGCCTAAGTTAGGCATTCCTAACAGTTGCCATACGTGGCCCAAATGGAGGTGGCCAAGCGCACGCCTAAGTTAGGCATTCCTAACAGTTGCCATACGTGGCCCAAATGGAGGTGGCCAAGCGCACGCCTAAGTTAGGCATTCCTAACAGTTGCCATACGTGACCCAAATGAGGGTGGCCGAGCGCACGCCTAAGTTAGGCATTCCTAACAGTTGCCATACGTGACCCAAATGAGGGTGGCCGAGTGCACGCTTAGGTTGGGCATCCCTAACAGTTGCCATACGTGGCCCAAATGGAGGTGGCCAAGCGCACGCCTAAGTTAGGCATTCCTAACAGTTGCCATACGTGACCCAAATGAGGGTGGCCGAGCGCACGCCTAAGTTAGGCATTCCTAACAGTTGCCATACGTGGC